AAGGCGCTCCTTGTACAACACCCAGTTGGTGCCGCTGACGTCGAGTTTAGGAACTCGGACGACATCGTCAGTAAGCTTGATGGACGCCATTTCGGGGAGGAGGGGTTGCCTAAAGGGGTAAGTTTCTAGTGCCTGAAGTCTGCCTTAGAAGGCAGGGCTCATAACCTATAGCAATGTAACTCAGCACGCGTTATACGCGGGACTTGTATATTGTAATACCTATAGCAATGTAACTACAGCGTATTAATCAGTATGAGTACGTAGAATAAGTAACAAGCATATGCTCACCTCAGCACGCGTTATACGCGGGACTGAGGTGAGCCAACGTGAATCGAAAGAGTTAAGTACACATTTGTAACAAGACGTCCATACTACAAGATGAGTGAGACGTGGCATTCGTAAACAAAACGGGGTGAATCCGCCAAGGCGGGACAAGGCGGGACAAGGCGCGTCAACGGCGCGACAAGACTTGTCCGCCCGAAACACGGCCGAGGCTCGCACCACGCTTGCCTCGCCGTACGCACTCCAACAGAACGTGCCCTACATACTTCGCGCCGCGGGGTCCCTCTGCAGATCGTGATCGTGAACGAGACCGGGCGCGTGACTGGGGACGAGATAGGTGGACAGTGACAGAACATGGATACCGGGTCCGTCGAGAGGTCGAGGTCGAGGGATGTGGGGCCAGTAGAGTATTCATCGATGCAAAGGTCAGCGTTCGCCATTCATCATATCATTTTCGTAATATAGCATATGCTTACAGTATGGACTCCGTTTTTGATGTTTGCAGTAGTCTCGTGACCAGGGTTATGGGATATTGTCTTTTTTTTTTCCTTCAAGCATTTGTATCCCGCGTACATAGTACAGGTGCGGCAGTATTACAGCAAAGAGCGTACTGATACGGAAAAGTGATTTGCGAAAACTGGGCGCCTGATCAAACGCCTAAGTCGCGAGCTCGCGCGCGCGATTTCTGGGCTTGCTCCTACCTCGCTGAGGCTTGGACCAGCCCTTCGATTACTCGCGCAATGGTGTAAATACAGTGCTACATGTATCCCGCCTCTCTGAAGTATCCCACTGCATCCTCCGGTGTGATCGTATAGCAAGCATCACTGATATCCGAGACACTATGGGATTCCCCATTGAAGTGCCGTCGGAGCACAGACTTGACTTTTGCGAAGGCCATCTCTATGAGATTGAGATCGGGGGAATATGGAGGCAAGAACACAAGCTTGCACACTGAGGAGTACTCAGCAAATGTAATCTGGTATCATGAGCAATGGTACTTACATGCCTGATCCTCCACTAGCTCACGGATGACCTCGGAATGGTGGATATTGCAATTGTCGAGCACGAGTATGCTCTGTGGGCCGGGATAAGGTGTTGTAAGTGGTATCTGGGAGTTGTTAGATGGTGGGGTATGTCCAGATGATTGTTTTACATACAACACAGGTCTTCAGAAAATCGAGAAACATCTCAGAGGTAACTGACCCCTCAAAGATGTTCCAGGTGATAAGCCCTTCAAATGTCAAGATTGGGAGAAGGAAGTAGCGTTTGCCTTGCACAAAGCAAGTATGCTGTACACAGTGACTCCCAATTGGAGCCCAACCTCGATGACGGACTGATGTGTGTTACACTGAGGTACTACTACAAGTCTATCCAGACTTATCATGCGAACTTATCCAAGTACGCGGTGTAGCACACGGGGGGAAGAGTATTGCGCAATGCTCCTAGATTGGAGAGAAGGGATATAAGGGTTATGCAAGAGTTTTCTGGGATTTTGGTGGGCGGACCCTAGGGTCGGCTAAACCCTACCCTAGGGTTTAATCCACTGTCATAGACGCCATCACCCTGCATACACCCACTAGCGATATAGCAATATATGTAGTAGCACTTGTAGTTACTATAGTACAAGTAGACTATAAGACAACAACTACACCAGTACTATACAGGGCACTCCGGGAGGCCCGCGGCAGACAGGGATAGGGTGGGTGGCGCTGGCACAGCCACAGGCCCCCCCACCACGGGGGCGGTCCTCCTGGAGGACCGTCTGCGTGATAGCATGGCACTGCAACAGGGGTGTAGAGCGCTGTGCGGCAAGGCTCGCACAATGAGCATGGGAGGGTGAAAGGACGACAGTTGAACGATGAGCTTGACAACACCGCCCGCCTGCTTGACATTTCGGTGGCAGGTGTGGGTAAGCGCTGGGGTATGGCGGCGCGCACGGTCCTCCTGGAGGACCGCCTGAGGTGCAGGGCAGTTCAGTGTCACACTACAGGTTGGGGGGAGCAAGTACTGTGAGAGCGTAAAAAGACAGCAGTAAAGCGATGAGCTTGACAATACTGCCCGCCTGCGTAAGAGGATTAGCGCTGAGGGAGCCCTGCGCCCGCGGTTCTCCCGGAGTGCCGGATTGACAGTCAGTTTCTGTGCTGAAAAAAAAAGGTTAGTTCTCCAATGAGCGAATAAAAGGGATCGAGAAATAAAATGGTCAACCCCTAAAAGGCAAATCGATTGACATTCGGCCTCGTGTATCGATAGGGGGATTAGCTTTCCATTTCGAGGTCAAATTGGACAGGCTATGAGATAGAAGCCAGGTGTGGCATGTGATGAAGGAGCTTGGTGGCACCGGCGCTGCGCAGTTCACCCATATTAGGAACAAGTTACCGTTAATGATCCTCAGTTACTGAATTGTCAGAAGACGGCGATCTCATGGTGGCACGGCCGTGGCGCAGTTCATCCGTATTGGGAACAAGGAACCATTCAATCCAATTTAGTGCATTCAACAGTGAGAAGAGGGCGATCTCATGCAGGGTGGTTAGCGGCCTCATGCAAGATAGATGGCAGCCTCATGCAAGATAGATGGCGGCCTCTATGCAGGGTGGATGACGGCCTTTATGCGGAGTGCGGAATCATGTATATAAGTTGATGCGAGCACGACAGCAGTCCCGCATCACCACACTCGAAAAATGCCGTCTCTATCTGGTCCTGCTCTCC